CTTGTAATCTTTGTAATTTAAATAAACATAGAAACAGTTCACATGTGGAAAAAATAAGCATGCTATTACATTTATCACTAATTCAATACCTAAAATTAGAATCAAGTGCAGCAGATCAGGTTCAGATCATTAGAACATTGTTAGAGAGGATCTGGCAGGAAACTATCATTTAAACCACATTTAGTTTGATTTTCTCTTTGTTGCTGAAGTGGGTGGTATTACAATGCCTAGAACAAAAGAGTTCACTGAAAGAAAATTACAGATGTCTATCAGTCTGGAAAGGGATTTAATAAGATCACAAAACTATTGAACATCAAGCATTCCACTGTCAAGAAGATCATCTAGCAGAGATTTCAAATAACTGTCAACTTGGTCAACCCAGGCTGTTCCAGGAAGTTCAACCCAAGAGCAGAATGCAAGTTGTTGAAAGAAGTCTTTAAGAACATCAGAATTTCATCCTGTAAACAAGAGGCAGCTCTTACCATTATTGGTGACAAAATGGCAGTCCACAATTAAAAGAAACTGTACACATTAGATCTACGGACGGAACCTTTATGTCCATAAAGAACATCAGGGAAAGATTAAAGTTTGCTCAGGAACACCTAGGGTTTCTGGAGCAAAGTACTGTAGATGGTAGATAGTTATTAGGTCAGAATGCCAGAAGGACTGTTTTGAAAAAATCAAACACAGCATCCTTGGTACAATTGTTCATTGTACCAAAGACACTTGAGGATAATGTGAGACAACTGAAACTCAACTAAAAGTGGACTTTGCAACATGACAATGACTCTAAACATTCCAGCAAATCTACCAAGGAATGGCTGAAAAAGAGAAAGAAAAAAAAAAAGAAATTGTTGAGGTTCTGAAATGGCCAAATCAAAGCCCATCAAGATGCTGTAGAGTGATCTGGAACAGGCTATGTATGCAAAACCTAACCAAAAAAAGAAAAAAGCCCTCAAGCATTGCACAGCTGGAAAAAAAATATGCATGGAACGGGGAAAAAATTCCTCCTAGTTGATGTCAAAAACTGATAGCTATAAGAAATGCTTGCTTGAGATTGTTTTTGCTAAAGGAGGCAATACCAGATACTAAATGTAATTTTTCTCACATAAGGAAATGTCATATTTGTTAATGTTTTTTAAAAATAAATTATTGAAAAATCAATTTTCATAGTTTTTTTTCAAGATCACCTTAATATACCTTTGAATGAGGATAAAATATTGATATACTCACATACTTTAAAAAAAAAATTACATGCAATATTTTTTCTGATAACTGTTAGACTCTTCAGTCATGCATACTGGTAGTCTCTAATACTTACAAATGAGATTTGCTGCTTAATAGATGCTTGATATACATTACAGGAATTATATAACTCAATAACTTTAAAGCTGCAGGATTGACTTTAACAGAGCACTCAAATGCAGGGATTCTGGTAGATAAAACATGAACATGGAATTAAAAAATTCTGAATTCAGGAATGTTGGTTGGAGTTTCAGTGGTAAAGGGAGTTTAGTTCTTCCACACATAAATACTTCCCGCCTTAAGTTTTCTTAAGTTACTAATATAATTTTAGTGAGGGATGAGTACAGAATGAATCATTCTGTTGCTACCTTGAGAATCAGAAATCTTGTTGATACATGTTAATTCCTCTAAAGACCTGCCACAAGATCTAGTGACTAGATCTAGCCATTTTGGCTGTGCATATCTGTAGGTGAGAAACATAAGATTATATATTTGCATGAAAAATCATGTTTCCTTGGATATACACTGGGGATATAGGCAAACAACAAAATGTGTCATATCACAACACCAACGCCACATTTAGATTCTTGCTTGTGATGTGATGATAATAGTAGAAAAGTGGAGCTTATGTCTTCATTTTGACATCACTGCAATTAGGAATTTATGCATATTCTTAACTCTTTTTGATTATCAAAATTTTGTGACTGCAGGATGACCAAAAAAAAAGCTTAAATGCATTGTGTAGGTCAAGTTCCCATGCCTAATTTAATTTTACAATTAATGCCATATAGTTCTCTTCAAAGGTATTTATCAATATCAAATATGTCATTGAAAATATAATCTGATAGTCCTACTATGTACACCTAGGCTATTGATCTCAGGTACGAGTTCTGCATATGCTTCATTGGTTTGGAATGCAATAGAAGGTTTCAGTATTTTCTTATTTACTGTGCTTCTACATGTTTCCCAGGAGTTCAAGAGGAAGTAATACTTATTTGCTGTAATAATAAAGCCCTCGTGATACTTGACTCATACTTTCACCTTTCTACAAAGGGTATGATTAACAATAACAAAAATGGTCAATTTCTGGTTGCAGTTTAGAATATTCACTTAGTTTTTTATAAAAATACTGAATACTGAATTTATAATGAGCAGAAACTCTAATTCAGAACTCCTCTTGAATTCTTAAGATTCTGAACTCTCAAGACACTGTATAAATATGGGAATAAAATGAACTAAGTACCATAGGTACTTAATTCAAAGCAGGAAATGATATTGGATCAAATGTGAATGTGTTTCAATAGCATTTTGCAGATGTCTCATTTCTTAGATGTTAATTTCATTTGATTTTTTAAAAATTGGCTTTATTCATTATCATTTCTGCTCAGATATCCTGAAATTTAATTTGCTATACAAAGCAAAAAGAAAGAATAAGGAATCGGATTAGTTTTAATCACAGATGGCAAAAGGCACTATACATTTGTAATTTACTGTATATTTTATACATACAGTAGAAAAAGTTGATAAAAATTTTAAAATAATATATTGCTAGTAATGGAATATGAGACTGTTTGTGTAACTCCAAGAGAAAAACTGTTTTTCCCACCCCCACAAACTGGATCGTGTTAGATTATGTATAGAAGGCAACACATTTGGAAGTGTTTCTTAATCTATAAAAAATACACGCTGAGATAGTCTTTTCTTCTTTTTGTTAAGGTTGTTTTTCTTAATATACAGGAATTCCCCCTCTAATATATAGATTTATATCATCCCTGAAGTGTGTATTGCCTAGAGCCACATGAAATATGGCAATGTGAGGACGTAGCTTACTGTAACAGCTAACAATCTACTATGGTCAGTGGAAATTAAGCAACCAGGAAAAAGTTAACTTCTCTCCCCATACTAAGGCACACAGAGAAGAGGAACCTCTGAATCACAGGACTTGGTTTCAGCACACTGTAGCTGCCATGATTAGTTAATTTTATAATTTTTTAAAAAATATAATAGTTTGTAACATAGCATGGAGAGAATTGCAAGTCTGGCCCCTGCAATACCTTAGGTCCATGACAGTGAACCTCTGGCAAGTGTGCCACAGATGGCACGAGGAGCCATTTCTGAAGCCCAGCTCAGCTCCACCGCGCATGCCCGTTCGCCTCCCGCTGGCCAGCTGATTTTCGGGTCTCTGCCAGGGGACATGGGCGTATGCATGGGGGGGGCTGCAGGGAGGGGCATTATATTATGGGTGTCAGAACCTGAGGAAAAAAAGGTTTGCCATCACTGCCTTAGGTGAACAGATTAAATGAAGTGTCTGAAAGCAATATTCCAGGATAAGGCAGGAGAATGAGATGGGAAGAAGCTGAATTTGTAGGCATTGTGTTAAAAATGTGTACCTCACATTTTCAAATGTACCTATAGTTCTATTTTGATGCTTTATTAAAGATTAGCAACCTTTTTCTTAAAAAAGGATAGCCTTCCCTGAGATGGGCAAGCCTCTAACAAAGGGGTTGCTATTAAATCTAATGTTGCGTCTCTCAATAAGATGTTTCTCTCAAAAGAAAGCAATTTCTTAATTAAACAAATAGTCCTTGGGTTACAACCCTAATTGGGGCCACAATTTCCATTGTTATGCATAATGGTTGCTAAGCAAAACATGATGTGACTGAGCCGCTTAGTGACAGTAGTCTTGGCAATCTCGTTGTGGTAACTAAGTGAAAACCGGTCAGTCGTTAGGCAGAAACCTCACACTTCTCCTGGCCTGGGTGAACTGCCTCTGCTTCAGCTGCCCCCACTTGATCGCTCCCTCCCATTTCTGCACTTTGGCTGCCCTGCACCGCATGGCTCAGATGAAGAGACTCTGTATTCCGCTGCCACCCCCCCCCCCCCGCCCTCCTCCCCAGCTGCTGTAGTTGTTGTCTTTGCCTCCCTCTCCTCCCTACCCAGCCTGGTCTGGAGAATGCAACCCCTTCAACGGCCAAGACCCTGCAAAGACCCTCCCATTCAAATCTCAGCCAGCTGCGTTTGCCACAGGCATCACGAACAATGGCAACGGCACCTTCCCCCAGGCAGACTTGAATCGCAAAGGGGCCTTTGCAAGCAAAAACTCCCTAAGAAGAGTGCATGACGTGCATGGGGACTAAAACCGGAAGCAGCAAATTGCAGGGGTGGAGCTACCGCCAGGGTGATTTCCTCCAAAGTCTCTGCACATGCTCGGAGATTGCGCCGGACGCGAATCTGCTGCACACTGTTCTACATAATTTAGACCAGGGGTTTCCAACCTTGGCAACTTTAAGCCTGGCGGACTTCAACTCCCAGAATTCCCTCCCCAGCCAGCTTTCTGGGAGTTGAAGTCCTCCAGGCTTAAAGTTGCCAAGCTGGAGACCCCTGATTTAGACTACGCTTTTCTGTTTATGCTCAAACAAAAAGAATTAAAACACATATGCCTCAAATAAACATTTTAATGCATCCATGCAAATCAGTGCTAAATAAAGGGACTATGTACCCCACGTGTCTATGGAGCTTCTCAGTCATCCAGGTCATGGTTGTCCCAAAGGTGCTTTTTTCAAGAGGCAACGGGACTTCCTTGTTTTTCTTGGAAGACGTTTCGCTTCTCATCCAAGAAGCTTCTTCAGCTCTGACTTTGATCCTTCCATTCTCCACCAGTCAGTCAGAGCTGAAGAAGCTTCTTGGATGAGAAGCGAAACGTCTTCCAAGAAAAACAAGGAAGTCCCGTTGTCACTTGAAAAAGCACCTTTGAGATACGTAACCAGAATGAATTCCAAGGCAGGGAATCGGTGGCTTTCCTAAATTCCGCTTCTCATCAGTCTGAGGACGCCACGTCAGGAATCATGGAATGGTAGTCCAAGAAGGCCAGGGGCATCGCACATTTCCCCCGTGGAGTTAGAGCGCTGCTGGGAAAGGCAAGGCAGTCTCCACAAGTCCCACATCAGCACTCGACCGTCTCCCGTTGCTCCTCGGGGCTGTGAACTTCTGGCCAGGCGGAATAGGAAGCAAGTTCCAGAGCTTTTGCGCCGCCTCCGCAGTTCCGCCTCCGCCCTCGTTCGGGAAGCTGAAGGGTGTCGCCGTTAGCCTCCTACGGGAGCTGGAGCAGCCGCGGCCTGACGATATTGGGGTGCAAAGAATGGCGTACGAGCCGCGAGGATCGCTGCTTACCCCTTCAGGAGGCGCGTGAGCAGAGGAAGCGCTGACGGCATGTTACCCCTTGGCGAATGGCTACTGTTCCTCTTCCTCTGGAGGCTGCTGCTTTCCGCGGTTGTCGGAGGTAGTTGTCAGGGGCTGGGAGGTACTTTCCAAGGCGTGTATGAAAATAGCGTTGGCGGGTGGCTGGAGCGGTCCTGGGAGAAGGAATCTGGAGGTTCTTGTGCCTTTTAATTAGGTAGATTGTGTGGTTTTTAAAATCCCAAATAAGGGATGGGCTGAATTTTCCAGCATCTGAATAAGGTTGCTATCTCTTTCCAACACACTCTTATGAGTTCAGGTCCAATTTTAGCAAGTCGATTTCCTCAAGGCAATAAGAAAATAAATAAATAATAAATCACTCACTCGCTCACTATAAAATCAAAGGTCTAGTCAGAGACTTCCCAGTTGTAGGGTAGAGGAAGGCTTGTCTTAAAGGCAAAGGTCGGCTGTTTGGATTGAAAAATGGCGAATTTATGGGCAGCAGAGGGTACTTTTGATAAGCTTTGATAAATTCGGGCTGCTTCTTGGAAAAAGAGATACTGCTCTGTAAAGTTTTTTTTAAATGGGTAGTGATCTAGAGCTGCATCATCAGCCTATTTAGTTATGAATATTGTTATTTAAACAGACATTTATGATGGGATGAGAACTAAGTTAACCTGTAGGATTGCTATGAATGCTAGCAATACAGATATTTGCTTGGCACCTTTTAAATGGTTATATAGACACTTTCAAAATAAATGAGTGATTTTAGTAAGACTACAAAAGCTGACCAATGGATTACAGTTATTAGGTAGGTAAAAATGAGGTGTTAGATATAGAACTGGTTATAACATGTATCATATACCTCTATGAATTATAATTACTTGTCTTGATGCATCATGTTTTAGTGAATGTAGTTGCCAAAATAATCTGCATTGATATTTTGAGAAGAGCTTCCCTCCCTCAGCTCTATGCTGTAAGGCTAAATTTCCCAAAATGAAAAACAAACAAAAGAAATACACAACAGTTTACTTAAAAAGCAATTAAAAATCATGCAAGCAGTAAAAATCACCATGAGCATTATCTAGCACGCACAATCTGTCTAAATAAAGATGTTTAATATTTTTCAATCTGTGTTCCTCAGAACTCCAAAGTTTCATGAGCATTTGGTGAAGGTCTGTGTTAAGAGAGGAGAAACTTCACTTGAATGCTGCCAATATACGGTCACTAGAACTTTACCTCTTTTTCACTGCTTCTGAATACTTTTTCTTTTTCAACCTTGAGTTTTAAAATACTGTATCATCTTAGTTCTCTCAGCAAGATATTTCTAGTAAGTTTATATTTTACAAAGTATTTGTAGGTTGTTAACTTTCCATGGCAATAACTATTTATTTCTAACCATGCCATTCTGACAGTTGGAGAATTTCCTTGGATTTGGATTCAATCCTTCTTCTTTTTTTTTATAAATTGTTTTTATTCAATGTTTACATCCTTAAATCTTAGTTATACTTTTTCAGCTTTCCAATACCAGCATTTTTGGTAATATCCAATTTATCTTTCAGCCAACTATATACATATGCATTTAATTTTTTTTTGTTACATACTTATTCATATAATCAATACATTTTATATACATACCTACTACACATTAAATATAACATCCCATTATAATATCTTCCCTTTTGCTATACACTATCCATTAATTTTAGATTCCTTTTCCAGCCAATCATACCATCTGTTCCATGTCCTCTCTGTCCTTAAGTTCCATCGTTAACTTATCTGATTCTGCACACTCCAGCACCTTTTTTTATAATCATTGTGTTTGTTGGAGTATGTTGTTGTTTCCCGTTTTGGGCAAATGAGATTCTGGCGGCCGTACTTATGTGGAGTTTTAAATTTGAGGAGACAGTTTTGGTAATTACATTTTGGTAATTATCTTTTCATCTGTCCCTGTTAATATTTTATCCATTTCTTGTTGTCCATTTTGAAATCCATATAATTCTAAGACTTTTTAATATTTTGTTTGGATCTGTAAATAAGGCCACCAATCTATTTTAATTCCTTCTTCTAATAATTCTTGTTTAGATCTCAAATTTCCTTGTCCATCTAATAACTCTTTATAGGTTACTATTTTATTTAAATCAATTAAATTGGGTAGACCAAGGCTTCCATCGTCAATATCCATCTTGGAACTTTTGTGTAAAAATTTCTTCTGATCTTCCTCCAGATTTCTAATAATACTTCTCTTACCTGATGTCTTTGGAAATATGTATGGGCTTTGTTCTTTCCCTCCCAAATAAAGGCGTGCCAACCCCTCTGTAAATCGTGCCCTCAATCGTTAGTATTCTTCCATTTTTTAAATTTATCCAATCTTTGAGCCATGATATTATTGCAGCCTGATGGTAAAGTTCCCAACCTGGAAGGCCAAAGCCACCCTTATTTCTGGAATCTTGTAAGAGTTTTAATTTAATTCTGGGCTTTTTCCCCAGCCATATAAACTTACTAATAATTTTATTCAATTTTTAGAAAAAGCTTTTCCCCAATTTTATAGGTACCATTTGAAATAAATATAAAATTTTTGGTAGAATATTCATCTTTATCATAGCAATTCTTCCAATCAATGATATTTTATATTTCGCCCAACTCTCTAAATATTTTTGAATTTGCAGCAGTAGTTTCAAATAATTATCTTCCTTTATTGAAGATATTCTTGCTGTTATCCAAATACCCAAATACTTTACTTTTTTTACAATTTGAATTCCTAATTTCTCCTCTAATTTCTTATTTGGGCCTTTCGTAAGATTTTTGGTGAGTATCTTTGTTTTATTTTTGTTTATTTTTAAGCCCGCGACTATGCCAAATTTCTCTATTTCCTGTAGTAGCACTTCTCCCGTTTCCAAAGGGTCCTCTATTATGAACATATCATCCGCAAAGGCCTGTGTTTTGTATTCCTCTTTTTTAATTTTTAACCCTTTTATTTCCTTATTTCCCCTTATCTGAGTCAATAAAACTTCTAATGAAAGAATGAATAAGAGCGGAGATAATGGGCATTCTTGCCTAACCCCTTTATTTATATTGACTTTCCATTAGGTCTCCATTTATCATAATTCTTGCAGTTTGGTTTGAATAAATTGCCTTAATTATTTCTATAAATTTTTCGCCGAATTTCATCACAATTAATTGAATAGTTAGAAATTGCCAATTCAAGTTGTCGAACACCTTCTGTGCATCCTCCAATATTAATGCCAATTGTCTTTCAGGGTGGGCCTCATAATACTCTAATATATTCATTATAATTCTTGTATTGTTTTTAATTTGTCATTTGGGTAAAAACCCATTTTGATCCGAATGAATAATTTTGTTTAGTATTTTTTTTAGTTTTTCTGCCATTATTGTTGCCAAAATTTTGTAATTGGCATTTAACAGCGAGATTGGCCTATAATTTTGGATGTGTTGATTGTCTGTATTTTCTTTTGGGATTAATGTTATGTATGCCTCTGTCCACGAGTTTGGCATTTTAGCTGTCTCCAGTACTTCATTATATATTTCCAACATAAGTTCTTCTAAAGATTCTTGAAATGTTTTATATAATTCTGCTGGAATTCTATCTGGCCCTGGGGTTTTATTATTTTTTTGGCTTTCTGCTTGCCTCTTTCAACTCTATTAAGGTAATTTTGTCATCCAACATTTCCCTATCTTCCTCTAATACATTTGGCAAATTTCTCTCCCATAAATATTTTATGTTTTCTTCTGCAATATTTTCTTGGCAATATAGTGTTTGAAAGTACTTTTGAATAATGTTTTTTTTTCTCATCAATCTTATAATGCAAATTTCCTTGTTCATCTTGTAAATGTATCAATTTTTTAGCTTTTTCTTTTTTCAGTTTGTGGGCTAACCATCTTCCTGGTTTATATGCTGTTTCAAAGTAATTTTGTTTTGCCAATTTTATATTTTGTATCATTATCTCCTGTTGTAATATATTAATTTTATATTTCATTAAATCTCTTTCCTCTATGATTTTCTCATTCTGGGGTTCTTTCTGTAGGGCTAATTCTAGTTTTTTAAGATTCTCCAATATTGACGCCTGTTGTTCCCTTTTCTTTATTTCTCCTCGCCACATACGCTATAGATATTCCCCTTATATATGCTTTAGCAGTGTCCCATAAGTTCTGTGGAGTCGTATATTTCTATTTTTCTTAAAGAAATAATTTAATTCCCTTTCCATTGTTTGCTTGTACAATTTTTCTTTTATAATTCTTTGATCTAAGGTCCATCTCCTTTTTTCCCCCCACCTTTCCATTTTAATATTAAGGGACTATGATCCGCCCAAGTGCTTGGCATTATATCTATCTCTTCTAATATTTTTCTGGAGTTTAGCCAACCTTTTATATATACAGCGATCCCTCTTTTCTTGTTTTGTGCCAGCACCACATGTAATTCCCCTAATTTGGGACATTTTATAAGATCACTATGCTTTTCTCTAATGTGTACCTCCTGGAGGCAAATGATATCCATCTTTTCTTTTTGTAGTCTTGTTAGTATCTGTTTACGTTTAATGGTGAATTGATGCCGTTTATGTTTAATGACAGCATCTTTATTTCATTTTCCATCTTGTTATTTATCTATTGGTCTTGGTCCTCTCCTTGTTCTGTTCTCAGTCTGTGCTCTAGTTCTGGCTCCTTCTCTTACCTGACGCTGTGTTTCCTTCTGGTCTCTTATCTCTTGTTCCATGATTTTTTTCTTCGGATATCGGATCTTCTTGGCTTTTACTTTCTCCTTCCTCTCTACTATTCTGTTCGTCCTTCCCACTTATATAGTGGTCGTAAAATTCCTGTGCCTTTTCCAAGGTGTCAATCCGGAATTTCTTCTCCTGCCATGTTATTAGCATCCCCTCCAGGATGAGCCATCGGAACATCACTCTATATTTTAACAACTGTGTGGAAAGAAAGTGGTAACTTCATCTCTGCTCCCTTATTCTTTTTGGGATCTGTTTTAACACTATGATCTCCTTTCCGTTATACATCAGGGTCTTCTCTTGTTTTGGTATATACTTCATCCTTGTTTTTTTTCCTCACAAATTTAACATGAACTTCTCTCGGAAGTTTATTTCTCCGTGCATAATTCATATGAATCCTGTATGCTTCGTCAATTTCATTTTCCAGCTCCTGTTTACTTTTTTGTAATGGTTCCGCCAGGAGTTCAGCCATTTGTTTGGGGAGTTGTTCTTCTTTACGTTCCACAATATTTTGAAAGCGAAGGTAAAACATTGATTTTTCTATTTCCAAATTTATTATAGCTGTTTCCAATTCCCTATGTTCTGCCACCATTTTACTTGTTGCTATGTCTAATTTTTTTTCCATATGATCAGTTTTAACCTATACCAACTTTATCTTTTGTTTATTTTTGGTTATCATCTCCTGCATTGTATCTATTTTGTCGTCTAGTTTATGTATCTCCCCCTTTACTTCTCATTCTTAATGTCTTCATGATTATTTGTCATAACCGCCTGCATTTTTAACATTGTTTCCTGTATTGCTAGTAGGGTTGACTGCATTTTCTGTAAGTTAATGGTAGAACCAGATTTTTCACCTCTCAACCCAGCTTCCGCAGATCTTAATCCTGAGGGGGAAATTGTACTTGTCATTTTGATATTTTTTAAAAAATGTTTCCACAGTACCATATAATCAACCGTGTTCTTCTATTCCTCTCTTTCAATCACTATCCTTCCTTAATTCCTCTAAATTCTTTCCATACAATTAAGGTTTAATTAAGGTTTAATTAATTAAGGTTTATATTAAGAGACAAGTGGAGATATAACATCTCCACTTGTCTCTTAATATAAACCTTAATTAATTCACTACCAGTTTCTCACAATTAATTAATTAATTAATAATTAACAATTAACTAATGATTAATAAGTAAACAAATAAATAAATAGATAAACAGATAAATAGATATTAATAAGTAATTCTTAACTATACTCCTTTCTTAAGATTCAATTAGTTATCAGTCTTAAATATATTTCTATAATACTACAATGATATATAAATATTATAAAATATTAAAAATTGTAAATGTTATGAAAAAGTAACATAATTATGTTCACTCGTATTCCTGACAACGTCCCAATACTCTCCAATGTTGTCTATTTGTCTTACAATTAAATTAACTATATATCACGATATCTAAGAGTCAACAAAGGTTAATATGGGTTCATATAAGTTATAAATGTTTCAAAAAAATAAATGAGTACCTGATTATAAATACAATGAATATTTCAGCAAGTATATAAACATAAATATATTGTTATGTAAATCTTACTTATTACTCTGTAATCTTTTCCTTAATTAATTTTTTACTAACACCAAAGTTTCTTGTTGACTGGTAGATTTGTAGATTGACATTATATGTCCTTGTCTAAGTTCATAATATCTTCTATTTTACTTCTTCTTTCTCTCTCAGTCCTGCGCCTGAGGTTTTTTTTTCCAGCTCTTCCTCCAAAATGTCTTCTTTACTCTAATCAAAATTGCCTAGTCACCTCTGTCGTCTGTAACACAGTTTCTAATCTGTCACCTCCAACACATCCAGCATGACCAACACTTTCTCTTTTTTTTCCCCAGAAACAGTCCCAAACAATAAATATTTCTTTCTAGTAATGCCCAATCCACTTGTTAGCTACAGCTCACACAGTCACTCTTTTTTCCCTTTTTGACAGCTCATGATCTCTGCTCCCACTGCCGACTTGCCGCTCAATTCCCTCTTGGAGACTCACTTTATTGCTTCTGTCACAAGTCCTTTTATAATCCTTGAGAGTTTTCACTTTCTGTCTCTTTTAAATCTCCTCTCACTGGTTCTTCAAGCCGCTTTCCACTGTTCTCTCCCTGTACCAATCATCGGGCCGTCACGCCTCTGGATCTGCCATTATCAAGCAGATTTCTTCCATGTATATCCAGAGGGCTCCTCCTGCCAAATGGGAGCTCGTACTACTCCTTGTACGAACCCTAATGGGACCCCTCCACGTGGTCAATCTCTCCAAGATCCGACCTGCCGAAAAAGCCTCAAAAACATGAAAAATCAGGTACGAACAAGCAGAGCCCCGCTCGTTCATCCCACTACACCATGACATCACTGCCGAAGTCTCCATCCTTCTTTTGGATCTATCCTTCTATCTATACCTCCCAACGCCCTCTCTCTTCAGTCTCTCTATCTCCAGAATTCAAGTTGGAAAAGGTGTCCGAAGTTACCATTGTGACAGTTCTAACACTAATTGGAACTCAATTAAATTAATTGACTTTAATCTTGGCACCCATGGTAGCTTCTTCTTGTCCCTCCCCCATGCATGCACCTTGAGAGGGGCTGTTCTAGATTTCCACTTCATGAGAGATTAAGGGAGTAATGGATACTTTAACATTGAAGTAAGGATAGTTTTGTTTGTGTTTTACAAAACAGTGGAAATTACCCTGATAGGCTTCAAATAGGTTTGCATTTGTAATTATTGGGAATTTTAAGATGTTTTATGTAAACTGCTTTGAATCACCAGAAATAGTATGGTATAAAAATATGGCAATAAGAGTTCATAGGCTATTGGCACACTGATAATAAGCTTAGTTATTGCTCTCCAGCATACAGTATTATATCTGCATCAGTAATGGGCAACTCACCTCACCATTGAAGTGTTTTGGAGCATGGTGAATTGTGGATATTATGTTTTTATTCTTTTTAGCGTCTCTTGTTTCTTTGCCTTTTTAGGATTTTCTTTCTCCTTACCACCACCACAGAATTTGAAAATTAAGTCATATAATTTTCAGAATGTATTGAGCTGGTCTCCAGTTAAGGGAATCAATGGTCCGGTGTTTTACAGCGTTCAGCGTCGCTTGTAAGTAAACAGTTGTCAAATATCAAATATAAATTTCTATTCTTTATCATATGTTGTCATTCAAATTTCACCACTAAGGAATTCTACTGTCTTTTTATTATATTGCAGAAATTATACCCAAACATGGAAAAAAGTGAACTGCAAAGATATCACAAAACCTGAATGTGATTTTCAGTCTATCAATGATTTTTTTGAAATTATTTTGCGTGTTAGAGCTGAAGAAGGCAACTTAAAATCTGAATGGACTGAAACATCTTCCTTTGTTGCTAAACAAGATAGTATGTTTTATTTGTTACTTGTTGTTTATTGATTAATTAAGCCTTTGACTAAATATGTTTCTTTTAGTCATTTCATATGTGAAAGTGAAAACTGGGCAATAGAACAAAAGATAGGGCCTATACGATAATACCAAGTCTTGATTTTGTCTCAGAGACTGAATACTGTATTTTTTGCAGTATAAGACACACCTTTTTACCCCCAAAAAGAGAGTAAAAATCTGGGTGTGTCTTATAGTCCGAATGTAGCCCCGCCCAGCCTTTTCCCTTTGAGAAGCTGAAAAAAAGCCTCTCAAACAGAGGTTTCAGAGGCTGAAAAAAAAGCAAGGCACAGAGCTCACCACCAACGAATCTGTTGCTAAAGTTCACCTCTGGGAACTGATTGGGGGTATTCTGGGAGGCCAATCCACCCCCAATCAGCTTTTTTTTAATTTTCCTCCCTAAAAACTAAGGTGTGCCTTATACTCAGGTGCGTCTTATAGTCTGAAAAATACAGTAATTTATAGTGGCATCATCAGCTTTTATAAACTAAGATCCAGAGGCATTTTATGAAATTGACTCTTTCATAAAAACTTGTCAATAAGGTTTTTTTAAAAAAGGAATGAGACTTATTTATCATAACAATACACAGCTATTCATAAATGTATGCTATAAGCAGAATTGTAAATTTCATTTCAGCCCAAGAAAAATATTTATGTGCTTCAATGATACACTATCCTCTATGTAAGAAAATTTTAGATGATGTCATAACCATTGCATTATGGAATTTTAAGATTTTCATCATTTGTCAGAAGCACGTATGATGTAGTATTATGTGAATAATTAGCCTATCTTGAATATTCTATACAAATAAAGGCATATGGATTTTTCCCATTATTGCTGCTGCTTCTCTTGTCATCATGTCTTCTATAATATTATTTAGGTTTTGGTTGATCCTTTGTGAAATTTATATCCCACTTTTCCTTCAGAAACTCAGGGAGTCCTGTGTAGCATACACCTCTCTACTTTTCACTTCCACAACAATAACCTTTTGGATGATTTATTCTGAGTCACCCAGCAAGCTTTTATGGTGAAAAATAAACTTAAAATCTAGATCCAGTACTATTAGAAAGTACCAAATTCTTTCATACAAGATATGATCCAGTGTTGCATAGATGTTAATGCAGACTACAGCAGAAAATGCTAAATTCAATTCACAGGGGTCTCCCATTTATGTTGCCTTCAACTCCTAGATGAACTGTGGGGTTTATTCTATGTATTCAAATGACAGTGGCAGAAAATGCTGCAAGCAAGCATTTCTTTTTGAATGCAAATACTCTCAAGCATTAAAATGAACTAACATAGTTCATGCACAAGTTTCTTATGCATATTTGATTAAAATAATGGAGACATGATGTTTGGTTAAAATAATGGTGTTTGTTTATTCATTTTAGCCATTATAGGACCTCCAAGAGAAATAAATGTAACCTCAGAAGCTAATTCAATTCTTATAAGTTTCTTGCCTCCCTTTGAGAAAAGAAGTAATTTCTCTTCATTTGACTATACAATCTATTGGGAGAATTCAGCAGATAAATCAGTAAGTACTTGCCTTTCCTTGACAAGCTGATAATATAAGAATTATTAGGAAACATTTGAATAAATATGTTAATCTCTTATTTATATCATTACCCATACTGTTGCAGGTCAAAACAATTTATAATAACATTCTTAAGATTCAGTAATAAAAACAAATACATTAGATTAGGGGTCCCCAACCCCCAGGCTACAGACTATTAGGAACCAGGCTGCTGGAGATGAGTGGCATGTGAGCAAGCAAAACTGAAACCATCTCCTCCTCCCCTAGTCTGTGGAAAAATTGTGTTCCATAAAACTGGTCCCTGGTGCCAAAAAGGTTGGGGGCCACTGCATAATATAAATCATTGTCATTAAATAATGGAGAAACCATCAAATACTGTATTTATACAGGGTGGACCTGGGTGAAGAAAATCATCAGTGATCACCAAGATATAATCAGGCAAGCAGGGAAAGTATGCTACAGATCCTGTCAGTCAAAGAATTCTGACTGGCAGGATCTAGAAAGAGAGCCTTCTTTGCTGTTGCCCCCATATTATGGAATATACTTCCCCCAGAAATGAGGTGGCCTCCATGACTCAATAGCCTTGTGGGGGATGGGGACAAAGGACAGTGCAGTCATGGGGCTGGTTGGTGTCATGAGAACTCTCCTTCTGCCTCCATCAACCAATTTAAATAAATTTAAATTGCCTTCTTGGAAATTTTCTTGTCTTTTTGGAATTTTATATTTTTATAACTTTTAAAATTTTAATTAAATTTTATCAGTTTAATTTTATATATTGTTTTATATGCCAATATTATGCTGAACACCTATACTGCCTACAGTTCCTCTTTGAGGGAGAAGGGCAATCTAGAAATAAGAAAAAATAAATAGGTAGGAGATAGATAGATAGATAGATAGATAGATAGATAGATAGATAGATAGATAGATAGATAGATAGATGAGAGAGAGACGGGAGAGGGAGAGGGAGAGAGAGAGAGAGAGCGAGAGAGAGAATACAATACAGAATGCCTTACAGATATTAAGGAAGAAATAAAGAAAGGCCTGCCCATGACTACCCTCACAACCTTTGATTACATAGATTAAAAAGATGTATTTTAAATGCATAAAAAGTATTAAAATTATTCTAATGGGATTTGTTTGGATATTTTAAAAATAATAATAGAAAATGAGATTAGCTGGTCCATGGAAAATAAATCTAGCTTCATAGATGGGGTAAATTTTTAGAAGAACTAATCCTTTTCCAAAACAGTAGACTTAAACATACTGAATATATGATTGATTCACCATTAGGAGAGAAAAAAGAGTCTCAGAGTCACTGGAATTTGATCAGTGTACACATTTGTTATTTTTAATGTTTTAATGTTTAACTGGTTGACTTTTATAGTTTTAAATTGATTTTATATATCTTTTAATTTTTCATTAATGCCTACTACTGGTAGCATTGGTTGGAAGATGGGTGGCTATATAAATGCTTTAGATAAATTTAATAAATGAAGGTGATGATGATAAGAATTAGGAGGAGGCAGAGGCTGGGAGGTTTTACTTATTTATTCAATTTCTGTGGCTACTTACCTATATATGACTGACCACTTGATTTTTCATATAATTGGTCTCACATCTTTCATAATCTATAAACAGCCTAGATGTTACTAAAGCTTTTCCAACTATCTACAGAATTTCTTCTTATCTAGGTGGGATGATCACACTAGGTTGTATAACAAGATTTTTTAAAACTTAAAATTATTTAGAGATCAGCTTTCATTCCTTGATAGAGGCCCACAAACCTCTGAAGTTTTGTCCAAAGGAAAATCTACCTCAAATTCAATACATCCACGTTGCTTTTATAATATAAAAAGTTTGTCCCTGCAACTGTTTTAGAACTTTTTTCTTACTTATCTGGACTATTAACCAAATCCAACCTTTCTTATTTTTCTGAGATTGGATGTGGTTGACAAGGTGCTACTACCTGCTGTGACCTTTTATAGAAAGCCATAGCAAATGTGGCATGGAAAGTGGAGAAAATAGAAGTTATGTTACAAAAGGCATAGATGGGATAGCAGCCCTTCGAGCACCTTTGATTTTGGGGATAACAAACATATTATAAATCCTTAGGCTATTTATGATCAACTATATGCTAAGCAGTGATACTGGGCTTCCTTTATCCAAATTGCTTAGAATTTAAAAGTAGTTATTTTAGATATTCTGGAATATAAGTTTTCAGCAGTCACAAAAAATGTTGGAGATAGTTCCACAAAAATCCTTGATTTGGGGGTGGGTAATCTTTTCAATCTGGGAGCCCCATACTATCTTTTTGTTCTGCCTGAGGGCTTCAGGAGGCATTGTACCTTTATTAGGAAGATTAAAGCCAAATTTTTCAGATCTATCTTTTAAATGGGCAAAGGAGTACCTCAAATCTTGCAAAACAAAGTCAGTGCTCCTTAAATTCACCCCTCCCCCATTCCAATTAAAAATATTGGATATAATTGTGATTCTACCACATAACAAAAATGTTGGCTGTATCTACTGAGAGCTACCTGAAGGCCAAGAATAGGATTCTGGGGGATCCATGTGGGCTAGGGATTGCCTATCCCTAGATTGAATCCAAAGTATTGCAGATAAACACCTACAATGAACCTACCATGAATTAAAACAGCTGTACTTCTAAATTAATATGAAAGGACTGTAATTTGAATAACAGGAGCTATATAATAATGTTTTAACTGGCTTTTTAAATTATTCTACAGCTAATCATGAATACTGTACACAGATTTAAGAATCTAAAGGAAAGCACCACATATTGCTTTAGGATACAAGCAAGACTGTATAACCGCGAAGGAGAAAAAAGTGGTATTTATTGTGCAATGACTACAATTACTGGTATGTATTACTATTTAATTGATGTATAATTATGTAGATATTTTTTGTTTAAATCATCTCTCCTGCCATGGAAACATGACTGATGCCAAATTCTCCTCATCAACCAGATCTTGGAAATACAAACCAGTCTAATATGATAATAGGTTAGAGATTTATTATAATTGGCCTGCCATTCAAAAACAGTGGCCAGGATCAGTATTGGTAGAAGTAACATAACCTGGCCTTAAGACAAGATTAGGAGTGGAAGTGACCAGTGAGGATTGGCCTCAAATATCCATTCTTCCTTCTTGAGTACACATGTCCCATATCTCATCACATCTTCTCTGCCTCTTTGTTGAGGTTTCTTTGCATCTCAGCCTTTAAATAATATCAGAGATCCTTCTCTGGGTCAGCCCTACTCCTATGAAATAGCATCTCTGTAGAGGTGAGGATAGTCCTTATTTCTGCTGTTTTATAAAGTGATCAAGACCAGATTCTTCTGCAGGATGGGTGAATATTGTGTCGGTCCTGAAGAGGAAGTACCTGATTTTTCCTGTATCAACAGGAGTATGGCTGTATATTGGTTATGATTATGATTTCACTGTTATAGCACTTGTGGTTTGATTATCCAGATTAAAATTGTGCTGGAAAGTTGTACTGTAACAAAGCGTGTAAGCCACTCAAGGTCTTTTTTTTTTACTGAAACATAAACCTTAATACAAATTAGCTGAAGATGCTAGTTGAGATTATAGCAGTAATGAACAATTCATTACAGCTTTCTAGATGAAGTACACTTAAATTCAAGTGGAAAATTGATGTTGGTATCTCAGATGGTCCATATAGTACTGTATTGTCTTGTCCTTTAGTCCTTTTCCTTCTTCTCTTCAGTTTCTTGGGGTTTAAATTTTTGTTCTTGAATTCTGTAGAAATCAAGTCTTTGCCATGAATCATCGGATTAAGATGAAAAGTTACGATTTCTTAAAACACAATGTACTGCATTTTGACAGTATCCCTCTATATAATGTTCATGTTTGTAGATTATTTCACTGGGATTGTTCCTAAACCTAACTAAAAAAAGGAAAAGTAATGAGGCATGTTTCACTGTATGAGAAGGAATTACTTCTCCTATTTCTCAAATATCTGTCTGTCTGTCTGTCTGTCTCTATCTATCTATCATCTATTATCTATTGATCTACCCATCTATCTATATTCGCCATGGCACCCCAGGGATTTCTTTCTATTTAATAATCTAACCTCCAACCAACAGTACCTATAACTCAACACTGTTCAGGAACCCACATTCAATTTGTTCTAATAGCTTTTTATGGCCCTATGTCCTGCATATTTTTCACCAGCTATATTGGCACTTCACTTCCTGCACAGAAACTTCATTAGTAGACAAGATAGTATAGTACCATTTTTCTGAACTTTCATTGTAGTGTATTACTATATTGTAATCCAACAAACTGATAACTTGTTTCATGTATGTTTCTGCCATTTTGTAGCAAATGTGTCTTTCAATGTGTTAATAATATATCAATGTCTCTTTCTTTTTCAGAGGGAACAAGAATGCTCTATTACATATTGATACTTATATCTGTGTTTGCAATAGTAGCTTTGGTATTTTCCCTGTTAATGATTTTTCGGAAGTATCAAAATATAATTAAGTCCTTTTGGCAACCTCCTCTAACAATACCATCACACTATGCAGAGGTATGTATTTCTGCTGACTTGCAATAATGTCTGATTGTAGTAAACTATATCTGGAATTCAATTACATTTACATCCTTTATTCCGTAGCAAACTCAGACATAGCTGGACTTGAGACATGTTAACATATGATGGTGGGACCTTTTCTTCTAATTTAACATTGCAGCTTCTTTTAGCCAGAACCATGTAGTCTTTGCACCCTGACCCCTACACATTATGTTTGCTGTGATTGTGATCTGAAGGTAATGGTGCAGGTTGAAAACAAAGGAAGTACACCATTAATTGAACATTATCATTAAACCTTGATTTTCAATCATGGATTAAACAGAAATCGTGATTGGTTATAAATATGTCAGTGAGGCTGGATCATTTAGGGCAGTGGTTCTCAACCTTCCTAATGCCGCGATCCTTTAATACAGTTCCTCATGTTGTGGTGACCCCCAACCAGGGGTGGGTTCTAAATTTTTTTACTGCCGGTTCTGTGGGTGTGGCTTATTTTGTGGGCGTGGCTTGGAGGCCATGTGACTGGGTGGGCGTGGCTAGCTGGTCATGTGACCAGGTGGCCATGGCTATGTTTTTATGGACTACTCAGAGGGCTGAAAAAAGTGATTTCTGACAGGTCCTCGCACTTTTGACTGGTCCTCACACTTATGACCATCCTCACATTTATGCCCGTGCAGCATTCTTAACAACCATGTCACTCATTTCACAACTGCTTTTCACCATGGTGATAAGATAGGGCAAAAAACATAAAATGTGAGGATAGTCGTAAATTCGAGATCTGATCAAAAGTGTCAAAAATAACTTTTTCAGCCCTCTGAGTAGTCCATATGCACAAAAGGACTACCCAGAGGGCAAGTGATTTCTGACAGGTCCTCGCACTTTTGACCGGTCTTCACACTTATGACTGGTCATCATTTATGCCCATTGTAGCATTCTTAACAACCATGTCACTCATTTCACAACTGCTTCTCTTCACCATGGTGACAAGATAGGGCAAAAACGTAAAATGTGAGGACAGTCCTAGTTCGAGGACTGGTCAAAAGTGCGAGAACCAGTCAGAAATAACTTTTTCAGCCCTCTGAGTAGTCCATATGCATAAAAGGATACAGCAATAGAGAGGGATGAAGGAAGGGAAGGGAAATTAGAGTAGGAGTGAGGTTAAGAGAGGGAGGAAGAGAGGAGGAGAAGGAGAAAGGAAGAGGAAGTAGGGAGGAGAAGGAGAGGGGGAGGAAGAGGAAGTAAGAAGGAAAGAAAAGAGAGAGGTGGTAGGTTTGAGGAGAAAGATTGCTGTACAATAAAAAAGATGAAAGGGAAGAAAGCCAACCCCAAACAAATATAAAGATATTAAGATAAAGAATGAATTGTTAAACTTTAAAGAATAAAAGAGAACAAATATGAATAAATAGCAATAATTAGAAACACACATACAAACATACAATGTATTTTCTTTTGTAGGAAGTTAGCACCCACCCCTTTCCTGGAAGAGTGAAATATTTTAGGAAATATGAAAAAGGCAGAATATTATATTTCCCTGGAATAAGCATGTTTGGAAGCAGCTCCCATCTTCCTGCCCCCACCCTTTGTCAATGGGCCGTTAAGGCCTGGGCCAGTCTATTCTACATAACAAAGATCTACCTCCTTCAGGCAGAGCCATAGTAGGAATTGCCAAAGATCCAATAAAGATAGGATTAGCCCTCTACCCATCTAGCAACAGAAACTCACCACATGTGACCTGGGAAGCACATGTGACCATCAGCCAGCAAAGCTAGCTAAGACCCCCCACCCCCTGGGAGTCTGACAACCAATCAGGATACTCTTTCGGGGCCCCAAGAAATGCAGAGCCAGAGAGAGCATAAAAACCAGAGGATTTACTGTATCTGCCCTTTTCTGTTCAGGAACTCAAGCCATGTGATCCTGTCCACCATTAAACCATCTTTCCAAGCAGTCTCCATGTTTCCAGTGTCTTTTTCCCCACTTGGAGCAGAACCTAGAAGGAGACTTCTTCCAACACTTTGAACAGAGTATTTGGCCTGTTCACAAATTTAAACAGTGTTTAGTCATTTCAATTAAATTTACAATTTCTATATTTCCTTTTTGCCATATTTATTCCTCATCTATTTTTGTAAAAAACCAATATTACCCTTCATCCTCATCTCTAATCTTAATCAAATTCAATTTTTCCCTTCTATTCTATATTATACCCCTTCCCATTGTCATCTATTTTTATATCCATTCTCACATTGGTTAATTATGTAATATTACAGTTGTTTAAAATAAATTCCACATTGTAATATAAATCAGTTATATAACCACCTTTTTTGTATATTAATCAATATGAACATGAATATTCCAATTATTTCCATGCAATCCAATTTCTTACAAATCAATTAATTATATTTACCAATAATAATAAACCAAATAATTTCCCCCATATATTCCTCCAAACCACAACTTAACCATTTCTGCTTTCAACACAATATACAATTAATAGTATCTCAATTATTACAATTCCCTAGTTAAATAGAGCTTTTTTTTCTTTTGTGTTTTAAAATCTTGAACTCTCCTCTTTTGCCCTAAATTTCCCATTGTTTGCACCTACCTTTTTTGGTGAGGAAAAAGAAAAGAAATCTGCCTGCCTAATTCCCAAGTTGCAGCAACAGTAAAGCAGGCTTTTACTTTCAGTTTCATTTTTCAGCATAGATAGGGGGAAAAAAATCTGCACTCTTTGCAAGCAAGCAGCAGAGCCCTGAGCAAAACAGCTGAGAGCAAATCAGCTGAGAGTCGGGAGCCGATCTAAGGAAGGGCTAATTAGCCTATGCTGAAGCTCCGCGGGCCAATAAAATTACAAAAAAACACCGAACCATTTGTTAAATTGCTGGCTCCCCCGCCCCTCACCCACCACTATTTATTGGCAATAAATCGTGGTGCGGAGGGGCGGGGCAAGCCAGCAATTTAACAAGCAGTTTGGCTGCACCACTGGCTATAGGGCGGCCCTTTGAAGCCCCGCGGCAAGAATTTAAACAGTTTTTTTTCCTCTAGCCGTCAGCTGGGACTCAGGAGGCAGCAATAGATTGGGAGTGGGCGGGGTAAGCAAACGGCCGGCGATCCACCAGAGCAGAGAGTGAGGGTGAGTGAAGGCGGGGGGGCGAGAGAGGGCTTTGGCGACCCCTGTGAAATGGCTGTTCCACCCCCAAAGGGGTCGCGACCCCCAGGTTGAGAACCACTGATTTAGGGGGAATCTGCATTCCAAAGGCAGGGGGTTACTTTGTCAAAATTGCTGTGATTAAGTTTGTTTCATGTAAATGTTGTATCAGGTTTTGTCCACTTGAAACAATTAATTTAATGAGGACGTTGGGACTTTTGCATATAACTGTTGATTAATTCTAGATTTTCTTTATTTGACTAATTCTTGATTTTTTTTGTGGAAACAGTTAGATGGAAATTGCTTAATATTGAGTCAGCTAGTATTTTTCAGTAAATGGGAACTAATCAAATGTAAAGCGTACAGTAATTGCAATCTGGATTTACTCCTGAATTTTTTTCCCTGGTATATTATTTATTTATTTTGCAAGTCCTTTTATGCCTCAAGTGTCATTATAGTGCTTTCATTGTAAATTACTGTACAGTGTATTTGGTTAAAGTTTATTTTATTTATCAAGATCAATCCTATATTTCATTTATAGACAAACATAAGAGAACTGAGAATCTAAAAATTAGATTCCAGCAGTGAAGTATAAGGACTACGAATGAGCATACCAAGAACATTTTTTTTTAAAAAATAGAACTTATTCTTATATAATCTATATATAATGCCATAAGAATTGTAAGTAAATATTGATATAAAAATAGTACAAACCATATTGAAGTAGAACAGACATATGAATTAATAAAAGTGAATGTATTTATTTAAATATCATTTTTAAAAACACAAAAGGCAATTCCAAAACAAAGATTAAGGTTGCATAGATTAGGTTTACAAACAAACAAACAAACAAACAAAAAGACTTGTTAGGATCTTAGATCCAGCACTCAGAATGAGTAGAACTGACCTTTTTTATGCATTAGGATTAAGGGCAAAGTGTTAAGTATACCAGAAGCTTGTGATCTCCATGCACCCCTTAAAAACATAACATTAAGGCCTAGTTAGTTGGGGGACTGCTTGCTCCCATAACGTCTGTCCAGCTGATTAGATCTTGCACAGAAGGTACACTCTCAGTTCCTTCAGTTAGACAATGCCATCTCTCAGAATCCTGGAAATGCACCTTCTCTGTAAGCTCTCCAACAAGATCCACCACTACCACAAGAGCTAGATGGCTCCCACTCAGCGATTGTTTAGAAAAGCCATGAAGGGTAATGTTCTATACCCAATAATTTGGCGAGAGAGAGTGAAATCCTTCATTGTGCTTGCCATTCTTTTTTCTTTTGTTGTGAGCAGCAGAATTGTTAAGAGTCAGGCAGCATACAAGTTTAATGGATTATTATTAAAAAAAACCTCCACCCCAAAACTTTTACAAGGCTTAATATGGTTATTTCTCTTCTTATATCCTTGTCTAGACTACCAAATGTGAAAAGAGGGTCCTTGACTGCATCTTACTTCGGCAGCTTTCTTCTTTTAATTTTAACAGCTATATTAATTTGGGGATTTTATTCTTGCTAAAATATTTCAAATGTTAAGACTAGAAAAGAAATAAAACTGAGTCTGATCCATTTCTTGAATGTCATCCTTGACATGACATACAAAGCCACTTAGCTTTTGCACCCAGAGTTGTTGCAGATCCCTGTTATAAATCAACGTTTAATATGCTTGCAGCCTTCTGGTATATTCCAGCATGGTTAAAATTAGAGACTAATAACAATCTGAATTACCAGGAGCATAAATCATTTTTCTTCACTCCTATTACTCTAGGCATAGTAGTGCCTGATTACGTGCCCTCATCTTTCTTTTCTTCTTGCAAATAGGCCCCATTTCTGTGAGCAAAAATATTACTTTAAAGTTTGGCACATCTGAGATATGATAACATTTGTTTAAAAATCCAATTTATTGCAACTGAACTTTCTAAATATAAAATTGGACACACAATCAAGATCCCATTTCAGTTATAAATCTGTATGAACATTTATATGAAATGAATGAAACCCCTTAATTCAATAGAATTTTCCTCAATAAAATGTTATGAATTGCTTTTCTGTTGACTATTTTGCATTTCAATATTATCATAGCAAATATGAGTATATATTTTATTGGTTCCTAACAGTTCTAATGCTTTTTTCAGGATCTTAATGACCCCCAAATGATTACAATTGAAGAATTTCAGAACTCTGCAGGAGAAGACCCTTGGGACATTATTTCAGTTACCTCCAAAGCAGAAGATGATAAGATTCTGATAAATTTTCCCAGTGAACATAGTTGACAGATATGATGAAAAATATTTTACATCACTTACATCTTATTCATTACCATCAAGTTATTTTAGTTGCTTGTTTAAGATCACCGAATTTCTAAGGAAGTTCCACTCATCCATCTGCATAGCGCTGTGAATTAAAAAACTGATTTTCATAGAGAAGCTTATTCATTTAGAAGAAAGTCCTAGTATTTCAATAGCTTTAGTCTTTATGTTTAGAATTTCAGTGTGAATGTTAGGAGAACACAAATCCTATTGCCTCATACATATATATTTTTCTAATGATTAGAGTTTTGTCCTATCCTACAACATGGATAGTTTACACCAACATTACCTCGTTAAAACTTTTTGTAGTAGACTAAGATGAGAAAAGTTGATTTGACATGAAATTTAGCTAGTGAAATCATTCAAAATTTCAGTGCTGTTAAATATCAGAGATACATAACAACACTTTTGACCTGGTTTTAATTTACAGGCTTGATGTTTACATTATTAAACTTGTTAATTTGAAGCAATCTTAAGAATGTAAAATTGAATACTGTCAACTACAGCTGGTGAATGGAATAATGTGTTTCGAATAAGTTTGTGTTCTTCTTGAACAGGATGGAATCAGAAGAACTTCCCTGCATGATGGACTGAAGGTCCTACTAGTTATGTCTGGTGGATCAGTTACAGCCTGTTTATTAATTGGGATCTTTCTTCCAACATTCATAGGACAGCAACAACTTAAATTATTGTAATTTTCTGTGACTTGTGTGACTATTTCACTTCCTACCAACTTTTAACAGACCAGACTATGGTCCAGTTGTATTTTTTGTTTTAAAAAAAATCAATTGGACTGGCAGCATTTGAAGATGTTATTCCATGCTCTTCTTGCTAAGCTTATTTAAACAGTACTGTATATAGAATTCTAGGCAATTGCATAAACATTGAGATTACTCAGAATTGCAGCAGGGTGAGTTCCTATATTTCTCTTTTCCAGAATCACTACAGATTGTCCCTTCCTTGGATTTCCTTCCTTTATCATGGCAAGATTTGAAGTGTTCAACCTTGTACGGCACCCATTTAATTACCAATTTAAATAATCATTTCATAGTTTTCATGATACTTGCATGTGATTTCAGAGGAAATGTTGAGTTCTTAGACATTTTTATACTGTTTTTGCATTGAATTTCTGATGTATATTATATTTGTACTGTATATAACATATTTTCTATCAGAGAAGCAACTTACTTTGTATAAACCCTAGAAAATACTGGGAAGAAGGAACTGACTACAGCTAGTTCTTGACTTATGACCATTCAATTCAATTCAACCTTTATTGTCAAAGCACAACATGTGTACAATGAGATTGACCTGAGCCCCAAATTTTTGTTGCTAAGTGAAATTTTACCCCATTTTACGACCTTTTATGCCACAGTTGTTAAGTGCATCACTGCGATTTTTAGTAACATGGTTAAGTTAATATGGCTTCCCCATTGACTTTGCTTGTCAGAAGGTCACTAAGAAATCACATAACTCTGGCAAAATCACATAACTCTGGCACACTGCAATCACCCTGGCACATTGACAACTATACAAGTCAGTTGTTAAGCATCCAATTTTTGATCATGTGACTGGATACTGCAATGGTTTGTGTGAAAAATGGTCATAAGTCACTTTTTTCAGTGCCGTTATAACTTTGAACTGTCACTAAGTGAACTGTTGTAAGTCAAGGACTATGTGAATATGCTGCTATTTGATTTCAGTGAGAATTCAATTTTAATTGGGCACCCAGCCTATGATTAATGGTACTTTATGTTGTTTAAGGATTAAAATTGCTTAAAATTCTTGATAACATTGTAAAGAATTTGTTCTTGTTTTCCTCCTGGTAATGTATGTATATAATGTATATGTTTTTATTGGAAGAAACATAAAATCAAATGCAGAACCTGTATTAAAACCATGGCTGATTAATGGGTATTACAGATTTCTCACTTTATCTTTTAAGTTCTAAAACTGAATATTCCAAATGTATCTGATGTCCAGTCTCCTAAAATTAGGGAGCTCTGTATTAAGCCAAAACGGAACTCTTAAAATACTTGTGTTAAGCATCACACAAAATGTAGTACTAATGTTGAACTCAGCCAATGATTGGCATCTCATTGGTGGAAAATGCTAATATGCAAGAAAGCAGTTAAGTTAAAAAAAATTATGTGCCAAAATATGAGTAAATAAAAGTCTCTTTTTGAATGTAACAGACTTATGGCTGGAATTAAGACTGGTATGCTGTACAATTTTTGAAAATATTTGCATTTAGCACTTAGACTTATATACCACTTCATAGTTTTTTACAGCCCACTCTAAGTGGTTTACAGCAGGGGTGTCAAACTTGTGGGACGGGTGCGTCACACGCTGGCCACGCCCACCTCCATTTTAGCGAAGGGGGGAAAAGTGATACATCACATGATGTGTTGTCACTAGTTTGATGCCCATGGTTTACAGAGTCAGCATATTGCCCCCAGCAATCTGGGTCCTCATTTTACCCACCTTGGAAGGATGGAAGGCAAGTCAACCTTGAGCTGGTGAGAATAGAAATGCTAATAGTCAGTAGAATTAGCCTGCAATGCTGCATTCTAATCACTGCGCTACCGTGGCTCTCATTTAATGGGTTAGAGGCTTGTTTTACTCATTACTTGTTCAATGCATGCTAGAAGGAATTGTTTACCAAAGTCTGGGCAATACCTCAGATGTCTTTGTATCACAGTATTTGCAATACCATGATACACCCACATTTTTTAAGTGGCACTTAAAAAAACCCAGACACAGCTTTTCATGTAATCTTTACCTCTTCATGATATATAGGCGTGGCCAAAATTGTAGAAACTTTTTGGGGAAAATGTATTTTTGAAGTTTGATGGCTAATAACACTTTTTTTGGGGGGGGGAGTTTCAAGATAATCATATTCCACTGCTGGAATGGTCTGGGAATAGCCCAGACCTTAACTCAGTTGAAAATCTATGGAGCCAACTAAAGAAACATGTTAGTCAGAAGTGACCCAGCAATAAAATCCAGTTAATAGAAGCAATCATTCAATCTTGGTTTCACATTATAACAGCTGCAGAACTAATAGACTTGGTTCATTCCATGGGAAGACATTGTAAGGCCATAATTCATGCTAAATGTTACTCAACTATTAACTGACGTGATAATTTTTATATATCTTGTTTTTTCTATGGTGATAATTTTTGTATATCTCGTGTCTTCTATGTGTTTCACTTTTCTTCTTTATACTGTGTTATTCTAATAGCAAATCCTTCATGAAAGTTATTACATTACATTCTTGATTAAATTATCTTTTCATTGATACATAATTTATGGTATTACTCCAAAAAAAGTGGTGTTATTAGCTAGTTTTAGAAAATACACTTTTCCTAAAAGGTTTCCAAATTTTGGCTATTACTGTATATTGCTACAGCTGTGCAGGTATTTGAAATAGGTGATTTACAAAGTATTAGCTCAAAAGCACCCTTCTATTAAATCCCAATGCAGCAATTTTTTGTGAGATTTGCACACTGCTTTATTCAGGATTATCTGCACAGACAACACTGCCAGCAGCGATTTGACTATGCATGCGGATACAGCCAGTCATAGCTTTCAAGCAATTGCACAAGCCATGCAAAAGATGTAGCTGCTTTATTGCTTCAAGGTGAGGTACTTTGTGCCTTCTCATTTTGTACACCTCTTTTGAGTGCACTGTCATAACCATTACCATCATCTCTCTTCTTCTTTCACTTCCTTTTCTGAAGTCAATAGCTAGGTTTCTTTCTCTCTCAAATAAAATTATCTGGCAGCGTGTCTGAGAAGCACTAAGGAGAAAATCCATGGGCAGCGTATTGGAGACCCCATTTCTACTGCAATTATATTACACCTTTTGATAATACACAAGTAAGATAAAGAAGCACTGCTGTGGGATAGTCTCATAAAATCATGTTAATATATAAAACAAAGCATTTTTATATTGCTGATTATTTGACTTTAATGTAATTACAATGAACAAAATAGTTTAATCTTTGAAATATGGTCTGCTCCAAGAAAAAAGAAACAGGACAACTCTTAGCATGTCAAGTTTGCTTCATAGTCTGTCCTTTGAGAGGGCTAAGAAAGTCCTTAAGAAATAACTACCTGGGCAGATTTATTTTCTAGCTATGGGAAAAGTCAAAGGCATGCAAGGTAGGAAAGCTGGAATATCTGCTTCAGTAGACCTATAATCAGACTGTAGAGCAACTTGAGTATTCATAATTTAACAGAACTTTTAAATTATATTGCCTACCATAATTTTCAGTATATAGTTAATCTAGATTAATATGTCACCACTTAGCGTACATGTTCATTTATATAAATTAAATATCTAAATTTTATTGGAAAACATTTTAGATGATACTCTTGCCATACATTGTAATAAAAATATATACTCTCTCCGCTGATCCTTTTAATGAAGGTCACATTTAAAGATACACAGAAGATATCCTAATAAAGTAAACAATAAAATAGGAGTTCCTGAATTTTTTTTAACATAAAACTTCCCTTACTCTGCATATTGCATTAGCATATAATTGCAATCTCTATGTATAAATAATATATGAACAGAATCTTAAGTGATATAAAAAAATCTTTAACAAAATGCTTAAATATTGTAAAATTTCATATCGATTTTTGATACGTCAAATCTATCAGCACTTTTAGAGACCATCCCATTTTAAGGCATGCTGTGCTAAAAAATTAAGCTCTTAGTGCATTTGCAGTAGCATAGGCTATTCACAAACTTGTGAAATTAGTGTTATATAAAGCAACATTTTGGAATATGGTGTTCGTTTACACAATCATTTTTTAAAATTGAAGCTTAAAGAGGTGTAGTCATGCATTACCATATAATGATGGAATCTTGCAGATACTATTCATGATAAATTTCAGTCTCTCACTTTTCCATCACTAAATCTTTGCCTCTTGGCTGATGCCATCTGAAAAGGTACTAGGCTTATTTGTGCTTAAGAGCAGTAGGTGTTCTTGGAAAAACCTATATATTTATAATATTCCCTAAGTGTCATCAGAACAAAACAATGCCAACTGCAATAAAGGGTTAGGGTCATAGATTACAGATAACCATAATATATACGTATGAACAAATTTTTTTACTAAAAATTTGGAATAAAATCCTAAAATCAGTTCACTTTTTTAAAAAAATAAACATACAATATATGTAATTCAATGAGCTTGGCAAAATAAAAACAAAATGTAAATTATATTATTTACATAAAGAGTTGCTATGCAGGATGATTCTTACACCCACAATTCTTCTGTTCTTCCAAATTTGTAGATAAGAGTACTACAAAAACAGAAATTTAGATCTAGAAGTCAAACATTTTGTTCTTCAGTAAAAAGACACAGTAAAAATTAGCATATATTTCAATTAATTGGTTCATCACTAGTTTAAAAAGCAAAAACATATGACAATAAGCTTGTCATAAACAAAAACATATGACAATGGATTTAATTCCAATATAATCCACTATCCAGTGCTTTGGCAATATGATATTTTCAAACAACACTTTTTAAACGGTGGAAGTTAAAGTAGCATACCAACAAAGCCTTATTAACTGAATTAAATTGTCAGCATTTATTTTTCCCCCTAATGCAGGGGTGTCAAACTGGCGGATGCATCATGCGCAGGCCATGCCCACCCCAGCTCCACGAAGAGAAAAAACATCATAATACATCGCATGACAGCAACATGACGCGGCAAGTTTGACACTTGTTCTCTAATGGAATGCATTATCATTTCCAGAAAAAAAAAAAGAGATCAGTGCTAGATAAGTTAATGCACTCTTTAATATTCAAAGGAATTCAACAAAATAAACTGTGAAGGCACACTGAAGTGAAGGATATGTAGCCACAATGCCTGTTAATCTAACTACTGCTTTAAAAGAAAGAAGTTCAGTAAGAAACTTCATCACAGCTTTTAAAGTTGCTAAATATATTAAACACTGTAAACATACTGCTTCTATCACTTAAAATCCAAACAATGTGGAAAAGAAAAGGAAGATAAAGTCAACAAACCCAAAGGGCTATTCTTAAAATGTATATAGATTTCAGTTGTGTGTTTTAATGAAGAACTGCTTGAATGAAAACAGTTCAAGGGGAGAAAAGGGTAAATAATATTTGACCTCTCAGATTTATTGGTGAAATTGTGCCTAATCATCTTTACTTCTGACCTCAATTGTGTTGAACTGGTGTGGCCTTGTTATTGGCAGGCATTTCAGAGCAGAGGGCTTTTCAAAGCACCCATCAAAGGTATTGTTTAATTTTTTCCTTGAGAGGAAGGGCGTGTAATGAATGAAATTTTTTAAAACAGTAACAACCTTGTGATTAGTCTCTATATGTACCTGCATATACAAACAAGGCTATGCAAATCTTTAACTGTGATACTAATAGTACTAGTCACAAGTTTGATAAGGTATAGCACTTTCTGTATAGCCTCCCTTAATGAGCAAAGGCTAGTGGAATAAATCCTGAAGACAAAGGAAAAGAAAACATGTACTGTTCCTTCTGGTTTCATCTTGAGAACTACTTGATATTAAAAACTGGGGCCTAAGACATTTGCGCAAGGCATAGGTTTTCAGATGTTCAAGGACATAAGTTGAAGGAGGCTTTATCACAGAACTGATAGATACTTCCTTTGATCAAGGCAGCCTTTGTTCTGTATGTCTGAATAAAAGAGTTCTCCAGATGTTTGATCAGACATAGAAGAGACAAGGAAAGGGTTTCTCCTATGCAGCGGTAATTTTGTTTTTGAAAATCTAAATGGCAGTATTGAAATCAGAAATGGATTTAATACCTAACCTATCAAATGATAGTAGCAGGAAATCTGATGCCTTGCAAATACCACAATGGAGTAGCCTAGTGTATGCCCCTTTTTAATTATTTGCTTAGAAATTTCCTGTTTTATTATTAGCTTTAATATTTACTTAACTTCTGAGAATCTGCTGTCTGAATTAACAATTTAAAATATTAACTTTAACTTACTCATTCAACTCTTTAAGCATCGGTACTTACCTAAAAAATATCAAAGCATTTTGAAAAAACACAGCTAATCCCGGGTATACAGTAATATCTAAAAATACAAATAACAAAATGTATTTTTTATTTTGATATAAGGAAGAAAATAAAAATTACTACATTCCACTATAAAATGTAAAGA